ATTTGCAGCCAAGGTTGAGAACCACTGGCCTAGGCCGTTGTGCAGATTAAGCAATGATTATACAGTGCTAACATATGGTAAGCCAGCCCTGGGTAAATATTAAACTGGTTCTTATATGTTCTAGGCCCCTGAGTTTTTCCTTATGTATATATACGCTAGAAGATTATTTTATAGTAAACATGTATTTCAAAGTTCTTTGCTCTAAATAATTGGGTCTGGTTGGTATTCCTAATGACTTTGGCCTTTTCATGCAAAGCAAATAAGATTAGAACTATTCACAAGCTATCTTCTCTATGGCGCTTAGCTCAAGTCTGATTATTCACCATGGCAACATTGAAATCCTTGTTCATTACATTCACTTGCTTCTCTTTTTATTTGTTATTTATGTATTTGATTTTTTAAGGGTCTTTACTCCATGAGTTGAGCCATTTTTAAGTGGAAGGTTTTGACTTTGGTGAAGTATAATTTGTCAAATTATTTTTTTATGGTTATTTTTTTCTGTGTCCTAAAAAAAACTTTATCTATCCTCAAGTGACAGTCTCTCTCTCTCTCCCCCTCTCCCTCTCCCTCCCTTCTACTCCAAAAATCAATGGAAAAAATATCCTCAGGTGAGGATTAACAAAACAAAACAAAAAAACAAATCAGCTGGCCAGATAAATGTGGGTCTGATTCCAGGCTCTGTTTAGTTCTACTAATATATTTGTCACTCCTTATGCTCATACCACCATCTTGATGACTGTAGCTTTAAAGTAAGTCATAACATGGGCTAGTGTGGGTCCTTCAGCTTTGTTCTTTTGCAAAATTGCTTTGGATGTTTAGTTTTTTTAAATTTCCATATGAATTTCAGAATCAGCTTGCTGGTTTCTACAGAAAGGCTAGCCTGGTAGGATTATGATTGACATTGAATCTGTAGGTCAGTTTGTAAATTGCTGATTTAATGAGGAGTCTCCAGTCTGTAGTGACTTCTGACTATGATTATGGCCTCTTTACTTTCTTTCAGCAGTGTTGGCATTTTCAGTGGAGGTCTGCACATATTTTGTAATATTTATTCCTAAGTCCTGTGGTTTTGTTTTGTTTTAGGCTATTGTAAATAGAATTAAAAATTCCTATTTTACAATTTTGTGCTGCTAGTATATAAAAATTCAGCTGATTTTTATATATTGACTTTGTAGTTCTAATAGTTGTTTTGTTTACTCACTAGTAATTTTTGTTCTTTGCCGGATTTTGGGCAATAGCATACATACTAAAGCAATTGACAGATTGTAGCTCTTTTGTTGTTTTGGTAAATTGCTTTCGCTTCCGTTTATAGAGCTAATTCTAGATAATCATTAGAAACACTATATTGAATTAGGAACTCAGTTGTGTAGATTAAGTTAAATGTGCAGAATGAAGCAATTAAGCACTAAATATCCTTCCCAGTGTTTGATTCTGTAATGAATTATTGAGCTTTGGGGACTGTTTGCGCATGCACTTACCAAACATACAACATTACTATGAAGGCACATTTGACAAAGGAAAATCCACCCACAGTCCCTCGACCCAGGCTGTACCATGTTCTCAGCAGCAGCTGCAGAAAGCACCTCTGGCCAACTCCCCATCATGGGACTTGGCGGCCAACCCCTGCTGTGCTGCTGCTCTCCCAGAACCCTGAGAACTAGGCTCAGAAGCTGTGCAGTGTCAAACCAGCTCAGCATAGACACCTCCTGGTTCATGGGCACAAAGTGAGGCTCATGTGCTGTCCCTGGGAGCTCTGGGCCTGGACTATGGCCCCAGCCTCACCTGAGGGGACCCCTGCTCCTTCCCCAGAAGTCTGGGTTTGTTGTGCTCTGGGAAAGCAGGGACCAGAGGCCATTTTTCACTGGTGGCACGCCTAGCAGGAAGGGAGGCCAGCTGCTGGGAGACCAAACGCAGGGCAGTTCCCCATTCTCTGGCCCAGCCCTGTCTCCATCTGTCCACCCAGGTGGGTTCCTTTGTCATAGGTGTGTCCACAGCTATAAAAATGCTGCTTTGTCCAATCAGGATCCCAGCAGGCTTCATGCCCCTGTGTCATGATGGTTTTCACGACCTGTGTTCTCTTGGAAGGAATTCCGAACATGGCTGAGGGAAGAATGGGGGCGGACGCTGGAGGACATTTTCCACGAGCACATGCAAGAGCTCATCCTGATGAAGTTCATCTACACCAGTCAGTATGAGTAAGTGCAGCCGCCCTCGTGGGTACTGAGCACAGTCCCTCTCTGTGGGTCCTGTGAGTGCAGCCTCTGTGGGAGAATTAACTCAGTACCTCCCTCTCTTGGTACTCCTGAGCACAGCCCCATCCCCACCTCCCCGCCCGCACCCCATATGTTTTCCATCTTATGGGCCTGCTGTATGTGCCTAATCCTCAGGGTTGTTTTCCCTCATCCACCCTGGGAGGCCTGCTTTCTCAGCCTCTCTGTCCCTGGGCCCTGTCCCTGCAGCCCGTTTAGTCCCTTTGCCATGTCCCTTGTGCAGTCTTGGGTTCCTGTCCCAGGGTGACAGAACAGGAGTGTCATTCCCTTCCCTCCTCTGGGGGCCCGGCAGAGACATATGAGCCTGTTAAGCCTTGTTGGAATCAGAGGAGGTGTGAGGGTGCCATGCACCTGTGGGTGGAGTGAGCATGGTTCAGGAATATGGGGTACCCCTGCTCCCCACTTACCTGGCCATTCTAGTCTGCTGTCTTGCCCACCCCCTGGGGTGGGACAAGGAGGTATGGGCTCTGCACTACTGCAGCTCCGTGGGACTCTGCCATGTTGTCACACTCCCCACTCCCCCCACAGCAACTGCCTGACCTACCGCCGCATCTACCTCCCGCCCAGCCACCCGGATGATCTCATCAGGCCAGGCCTCTTTAAAGGCACCTACGGCAGCCACGGCCTAGAGATTGTCATGCTCAGCTTCCATGGGAAGCATGCCAGGGTCACGAAGATCACGGTAAGTCCTGGGGCTACCTGGCGGGCCCAGACCTGTGTGCACTTGTCAGGTTGGCCATGGCAGGGCACTCGGGCTGCGCCTTGGCTACTTGATATGGCTGGGACCTGTGGCACCGCTTCACCAGGGAGCTGATTGGGAGTGCAGATCCCCAGGCCCTGCCCGGACCCACCCAACTGGAACCTTAGGGGATTTTGAGCACTTCCGCTTCCCCACAGGGCTCTTTTCCTGGCTGCACACAGATACCTTGAGAATGGGAAGTTGAGAAAACACTAATGCCCTTGCCCCACCCTATAAATTCTAATTTCATGGGGAGGGGGCTGGGTAAGGGCTTCACAGCCTGCCCAGCTGACCCCAAGGGCCAGCACATTGGAGACGCCCTGCAGTAGCACATAGGCCCCACTGCCTGTCCTGTCCTCAGCAGCTTGTGAAAGCAGATGGAGGGTTGTTGAGCCACGTAGGCCGTGTGTTGCCCGCTCCAGGGGCCACTAGTCATTCTGGATTCACCTGTCATTTGCGTAGTTGGTGGGGTGAGTTTCTGGCAGATACACTAAAGCATCCTGAAGAAGCAGCACCACTTCCTAGTCCTCACAAAGCATTGCTCCTGAACCTCTGTCTGCCGGGATGCCTCTGCTTAGGGAAAGCTCATGTGAACAAGAGCCTGGAACCAGGGCTGCGTCCCTGGCACAGGGGGCTCTCCAGCAGGGATTTCGGCATGCTCCTGGGGCTCATGGAAAGCTGAAGGGCCTGGGGGATCTCCTTGGGTTCAGGCTTAGGAGCTTCTGCGTTCCAGGCAGATCTATCTGGTGGCCTCTCAGGCCTGCTGCCCTCTGCCTGACCCTGGGAGAGGATGAAGTTCTCTAAGCCCTGGTTGCTTCAGTTGTCACACAGGCTAGTTTCCACCTGTGGTCTTTGAATGCAGATGAGCCACTGTGCTGGGTGCCTGCAGACCCTCAGCAGATCACTAGTCGGTGTTGTCATTTTCTGTCCTCAAAGATCCCTTCACTGATGGAGCTGGCTCCTCTAGGCATTAGTTTTTTTGTTTGTTTTGTTTTTTAAAAAATATTTTTTATTGATTTTTTACAGAGAGGAAGGGAGAGGGATAGAGAGTTAGAAACATCGATGAGAGAGAAACATCGACCAGCTGCCTCCTGCACACCTCCCACTGGGGATGTGCCTGCAACCAAGGTACATGCCCTTGACCGGAATCGAACCTGGGACCCTTGAGTCCGCAGGCCAACGCTCTATCCACTGAGCCAAACCGGTTTGGCTAGGCATTAGTTTTTTAAGGGCTTCTAAAATGGTCCTACTTCTCAAGGGGTTGCTGCTAAGTCAGTAGGAACGCTGAGTGAGCTCACCTGGCCACAGGTGGGATCTAGGCTGGAGCGTGTTTCTGCTGCTCTCTGAGCCCTGCTGACCACCATCCACTCGATCCACAGGGTGACCCCAACATCCCCGCCGGGCAGCAGACAGTAGAGATCGACCTCATGCACCGCATCCAGCTGCCCAACGTCGAGAACCTCTGCAACTTCAACGAGCTCTCCCGCATCGTCCTGGAGGCTCAGGAGCAGGTGCGCCAGGAGCAGCAGCGGCAAGAAGACAGGACTGAGGACGGCGAGGGTTCCGGGCCACCCACTGAGGTCAGAGAGCCCGGGAATGAAGGGGCCGCACCTTTGAAGGAGGAGCCTGTCCAGTTTGTTCTGCCTGTGGGTGTGAGCTCAAGGAACGAGAACTACCCCCGAACCTGCAGGATGTGGTAAGGACAGGAGGTGGGCGAAGACCAGTTTTGGGGTAGGACCTGGCTCTGACAGGCCAGCGGTGGGGCTTGCTGCACCAGAATGGGAGCCTCTGATGGCTTGGTCCAAGCTCCAGCTCATACCTGAACAGATGGCGCTGTTTCCTGGGCTGTACAGTCAGCTATCACATCCCTTGGGGAGCCTCAGACTGGGGGTATTAGAACTGCCAGGTGTGAAGACTCCTCCCAGAATGCCTTGCATCACATAGTTACTAAGGTAAAAGGGAGACGAGGCAGGATGTCAGGCAGCACTGAAGCAGACAGTGAGGAAGAGGACTCTCCCCCTGCCCACACCTCTCCATGTAGAAAGTCTGCTTGGAGTTCGCCCGGATGTCCTTGCAGGTAAGGCCTGTCATGAGTTCTCCATCCATCTCCTAATGAAGGTAGTTCTGAAGTCAATCCATTATTTCTTCCTGTGATTTCCCTTCCTCCCTCCTTCCCTCCCTCTCCCCCCCTCCCTCTCTCTTTCCTCCTTTCTGTTATTTTTCTGCCCTTCTCTGCTACTTTGGGCCAGCGCCGCAATGGCCACCAAAGTGAACCCCATCCCAGACAGCGCTTGGAAAGGGGCTGGCATTGCTGCTTCCTTCCCTGCAGAGGTCCAGATCCCTGATCTTGGGACAAGGCCTCCCCCAGGCTGCCAGCTCTTCACCTGACTTGCTGTTCGTAGGGTTTTGTCTCAGGCCTCTGCTTTCAGCCACTCGGGCCCACCCCTGCCATTCAGGCCATTCCCTGGTAGATGAGTTATGAGAACCTTGCCCCCAGTCCCCTACACTCCAGGGCTATTTAAGTTTTGCTAAAATGAATAAAATTAAAAATTCAGGTCCTCAGTTGCACTGGCCACATTTCAAGTGCTCAGTAGCCACACATGGCTTCTGGCTACCACATTAGACATGCAGATCTAGAATATTTCATCATCACAGAAAGTACTCCTGTACGGTTGCCTTAGTGGGCATTTTGAGGGAATAATCTGTCAGTCTCCTGGCATTACAGCTGACCCTCTCCACCTTCTTCAGGTTATTTATAAAGGTTTGTTTCCCTTTACTTCTGGGCCAGCTGCTGTGTTGTGTGTCTGCAGTGGTCTAAATAGCCACTTACTTATAGACTAACAGTGTGGGCAGCTGGCTGAGCTCCCTGAAAAAGATTTAGGTATCTACATGGGCTTGGCAGAAAAAAATTATTACATTTTCTTTTTTTTTTTTTTTTAAATATATTTTATTGATTTTTTACAGAGAGGAAGGGAGAGAGATAGAGAGTTAGAAACATCGATGAGAGAGAAACATCGATCAGCCGCCTCCTGCACACCTCCTACTGGGGATGTGCTTGCAACTCAGGTACATGCCCTTGACCGGAATCGAACCCGGGACCTTTCAGTCCACAGGCCGACGCTCTATCCACTGAGCCAAACCGGTTTCGGCACATTTTCTTATTATACAGTTATGATAAAAGTGACTGAATTTGGTTTTTCCAGAGGAAGACATACAAATAGCATTCCAATATAATTTCACCTGATGTAAATATTTTTGTAAAGTTTTAAAATTTTTTATTATAGTTGACATGCAATATTATATTAGTTTCAGGTGTACAGATCACATCTATACACCTTATGATGTGATCATCACAATAAGTCTAGTAACCATCTGTCACCATACAAAGTTATTAGGATAACTATTGTTGACTATTTTTCCTGTGCTGTACATTACATTCCCGTTTGAAAGGCCATAAAAGAAAAAGGCTCTGTTATTCCTGTAAAACTTGACAGGTCCTAGTAGCTCATGGCCAGCTAAGAGCCCATTAGTAGCTCACCAGGATGCTGGGTCCAGCCAATCTGGAAGCTCCGGTTCAGACCCCTGGCCGAGCTGTAGGATGGTCCTCCACGCCAATCCTGAATATCAGGGGCTCCATGGCTTGGGGGGCCTGCTGCGATCCTTCCCTGTCTGGTTGGCAAGGCGTTGCCACAGCGCCCAGGCAGGAAACATTTGCTGTGTGTTCTCTACGCCTTTGCCTCCCTGTAGGCTCTGGACCTTTTTCCCCACCCAGGAAACCCTCTGAACCACAGGCTGCTCTCCCTTCGTCAGCCCAGCAGTGTCTTAGCGTGGCCGGGAGATTTGGGGGTCTCGGGCACCATTCCACATGCTGGGAGATTCAGGCCAGCCCCTGACTTCCTGTCATCCATCAGAAGCGAGAAAGATAAATGTATTTCAGCCTCATACTAGTATATAGAGATCTCAAAACTTGGCCATATGATATTTGAAAGTTTGACCTTCTGAGTTAATGTCAGTTGCATGACAATAAGTCTTTATTGATTATATTTAAATTGTTCAAATGTTGACATAACTACCCCAGGAATTAAGATTTTTGTTACCTGGGCCTGTGTTGTGAAGATAAATGCTTTGGGACAGAGTTGTGAGGGGGGGCTGCTTGAGATTCTCCTCCTTTAGTTGGGTGAAGTGGGAGAAATCAATGTTTGGTGGGGTGATCCCCACCATCTGGGGTGAGCACAGTGCGCCTGCTCAGTGTGTCTCCCCACATGCCCAGAGCCCTGCACCTCTGCTACGATGGCTTGGTGCCTGGACGTTTAGAGTTGTGCAGGGGCCCTATGAAGACAAGCCTTCTTGAGCTGCTTGCTGGTGAATAGCAAGAAGTGGTCTGAATGGAACGAAGGGTGTTTTAGAACACCCCGGGATGACACAGTGCTTGACTGGGGCCAGTGCAGGGCCTCGAAGCCCCTCTCACTCTTCTCTCCCTTGTGCTTTCCCTCTTTCTTTGTTCAGTTTCTACGGCACAGGCCTCATCGCTGGCCACGGCTTCACTAGCCCTGAGCGCACGCCCGGGGTCTTCATCCTGTTTGACGAAGACCGCTTCGGGTTCATCTGGCTGGAGCTGAAATCCTTCAGCCTGTACAGCAGAGTCCAGGCCACCTTCCGGAACGCGGACGCACCGTCCCCACAGGCCTTTGAGGAGATGCTCAAGAACATTCAGTCCTTGACCTCCTGATGGCCCCTTCCCTGTTGGGGCGCGGCTCCGGACCCGGTGACCTGGGAAGAGCAGCAGCATGCACTTTGGAGATTTGACCTTCTGACCAGAGCACCCACCTTCCTGTAGGCGTCTCGGCCCGAGATGCTTTCTATAGAGTGTGCAACATATGTCTGCATATTTATCAGTAGCTGATGGGAAGGCTGAGCTGAGCATGTCTTATAAAAAAAAAGAATTGGAGAAATTGAGTTTGTCTTTGGCTCGCTGACAGTTTTCTAGGGAAAACAAAATCCTCCTTCAGGAAAGCTCATGACACAACTGAGTCTCTTGATGTAGGGGGCCAGTGTGTGGGGTGCCAGCTCCACCGTCCACTCTGCAGGAAGCAAATGAAAGTGGCCATGGACCTGTGAGGGCAGCTGGACAGGTAGGGAGGGCAGTGTTTGTGGAAAGAGAGCCCCAGGGAGTTGGGAGGTCAGTCTCAGGACCCAGGACTAAATTTCCATTTTTCTTGTTTGTATTTTCTTTTTTTTTTTCTTTTTTGTGAATTTCCTTTTCTATACTGACTCAGATTTTGGACAAAAGCACTTCACCCCCATCTCAGTTTCTGAATCAGGGAAATGGGGCTGGCGATACGGGTCACTAGAGAACGTTTCTACAAGCCTTTGAGCAACTTGGAGGCCTTGTGAATACCACCCCTGGTCCTGGCCCCTGGGCAGCACCCATGTGCCTGCCCTGGCCTCTCTCTAGCGTTAGAACTTTCCCAGCAGCCAGTTCCTGTCAGTGCTCATTGTGTCCTG